TGATCTTCAATCATTTCAAGTTAAATTTTGTATATGGCGTGAGGCACCCTAAAGGTTTTTGTTCTGTTTTGCTTTGTTTTAAATTTTGTGAGAGCTATCTCCCTATGCTGCCCAGGCTGGAATGCAGTGGTGTTCAGAGCACAGTCATAGCTCCCTGCGGCCTTGAACTCCTGGGCTAAATCGATCCTCCTGCCTCTGCTCCGGCTTGCCCTTAGGTTTTTTAACCAAAGTGTATATTATCAGACTTAAAAGACTTTTCTAAGATAGTTTTAAACAGTAGTTCTCAACTAGGGCATATTTGTTCCCCCAGGGACATTATTGGTTGTCATGCCTAGGGAGTGCTACTAGCATTGAGTTGGTAGAGGCCAGGGATGCTGCTTAGCAGCCTGTAGTGCCGGCAACCCCCACCGCAGAGAGTGGTCAGGCTCCAAGTGTAAGCAGCGCTGAGGTGAGAAATCTCACGGGAGGCAAAGGACCCTCAGCTCAGGTCCCAGGTGAGGAGGCTGCTGGCCTGGTGGCCAGGAATGTTCCCTGTGTTTATTCCACTAGAGAACCATGGTCACACCTTATTGAGCACCATGGGAGACCTAGCTGTGGCCTCGGGGCCCTGGGTGTTGGCAGGAACAGTGACAGATCTCTCTCCCCGCCTGGCTCAAATGCCACTTCCTAAGAGGTCACCATTCTCTATTTCTCACACTTATGTCCTCAGAGACATCAGTGACTCTCTTTCTTACTGACACTGGGTTTTAGCCTAAGTTCCGTCACTAAGTCACCGTCTGACTTTGTGTAGTTCATTTCTCCAGTTCTCATTTTTTATCAGCAAAACAAAAAGGTTATACTAGATGACCAATAAGCACCTCTAATATTTTATGACTGTAAGAGCAAAGTCAACATCCCCACTCCCTTCTCACAGCTCATTCAACAATCCTAACAGCAGCTGGTGCCCGCAGTCCCAAGTCTCTGCAGAAGCCCAAGCCGTATTCTGGGTCAGTCGTAACAAGCAGAGGAATTGGAAACTAGCACACCCACCTCACACCAAAATACCTGACCTTTCTGAGTTAATTTTTATATATGGTGGAGGCAACCTTAAAATTTTGTGTGGACATACATTTTCCTTCTTTTGCATGTGTACCTGGGGAATTTCTAGGTCATGATAACTCTATGCTCAACCTTTTGAGGAACTGCCAGACTACTTTCCCGAGGGGCTGCACCCTTTTACAATCCTACCAGCAGTGTAGGAGGTCTCCTCACCAACACTTGTTATGTCTCACTGATCCTGGCCGTCCTGGTGGCTGCAAAGTGGTATCTGGTTGTGGTTTTCATTTGCATTGCCCTGATGGCTAATGAACATCTTTTGGGCATCTAGTTTTATAGCTTTAGCTCTTACATTTTGATCTTCAATCATTTCAAGTTAATTTTTGTATATGGCGTGAGGCACCCTAAAGGTTTTTGTTCTGTTTTGCTTTGTTTTAAATTCTGTGAGAGCTATCTCCCTATGCTGCCCAGGCTGGAATGCAGTGGGTGTTCACGAGCACAGTCATAGCTCCCTGCGGCCTTGAAATCCTGCGCTAAAGCAATCTTCCTGCCTCTGCTCCGGCTTACCCTTAGGTTTTTTAACCAAAGTGTATATTATCAGATCTTAAAAGACTTTTCTGAGCCAGGCACGGTGGCTCACGCCTGTAATCCTAGCACTCTGGGAGGCTGAGGCGGGCGGATCGCTCGAGGTCAGGAGTTCGAAACCAGCCTGAGCAAGAGCGAGACCCAGTGCAGTGAGGCAGATAGGGCGGTTGGCTGGCTTGTCAGCCTACGGCCAGCCGGGCAGAGCTAGAAGGGGGGCAGGAGCCCAGGCGCCTGGAGGCGGTTCATGGCACCTGGGCAGGAGAGGCCATGGAGCAGGGGCAGGCGGACGATCCCTGAGCACAGTGGGTTAGACGGTGGGCCTGGCCAGGCGGCAGAAAGGCAGGGGTGGGGGCAGGCCGGGTCCTTGGTTGGCTGGGTGGTGTGCGTGGTCGCGTTGGGCAGATGACTTATCACCAGCGGGCTTGGCCCTGGGCACCCGCCCCCCGCCGGATCCTCCTCCTGGCCAGGCTGCCGGCGCACGCTGCCCCACCTGCACTCTAGTAACCTGCAGCGGGCCGTGGGAAATGCGAGAGGGCGGGGGCTCTCACCCGCCAGGGCCTGGAACAGCGTGGGGTGTGCGCGCGGGTGCAGCCAGGGCGGATCCATCCAGGGCTGGGGCCAGGGGACTCCGCGTCAGCCGGCCCGTGCCAGCCCCCAAAGAGGGCATCCTGGCAGAGGAGGCTCCA